TTATGCTTTGATTGGTTGAATGGACGACCGGACACTTAGCATATTAGGCTTTTATTAAATAGGATTATTTTACTGAATGAAATAATTCATTTTTCTTATGCATATTTACACTTTTAGATTGGGTTAAGAAACAGCTATAATCATTTGTGGAGATGAATACTTATATTTTTATTCACTAAGGAGATAAATTATTAAGAGATAAGACTTCAATAGGGAAAATTATATTCATATATATGGGGAGAGCTATAGTACATCTAAAATCCAAATGAGATATTTCTGTAAACCTAATGATTCTGGGATCTATATCTAAGCCAATCCCTATAATAGAGTCCAATTTCTCAGGTCAACAAATGAGATAAGTGATATGGGGCTACCAGGAACATCATGGTCTCAGGCGCATAGGTGCTACAAGCTGAAGCTTTCCTCAGCGGCTCTGCTGGGCACTCGGTTTCATCTTCATTCTGTACAATATCACTGCTATCACTGTTGTTATTAGTTTCATAATCAGAGGTAACTTGAGCAGTGTCATCTGGAATTGAAAGAAATCAGCCTGTTATGAAACTTGTAACCAGAATGGGGTCCCATTTAAGTGAATATTCCTAAAATGCATGTGGTTAATACAGTGTTGAGAGAACTATTGCCTTCATGAGCCTTTACACACCAAGAATATAGGATCATATGTATATGTTGGGTGTAGATATATAGAAACATTTTGGACAGCTTTGCACCGAGATTTTACCCATGATTAACTCTAGGTAGTCAAATTATGGATGATTTTGATTTCTTTCATTGTCTTTTAAAATTTCTCATCTGAATCATCAGGAACATTTCATTTGTGATCAGAAGAAAGTAAAGCAATTTCCTTTTTGAGGAAGAGAATGCAAATAAAGAATTACCCGTTCTGCTTGGTGTCCGAATGGCTGTACCACTGCTCTCCAGGGGCCCGTCAGCAGGATTGCCTTGGGAATATGGCCTGCCACAGCTGAGAAATATGGGAACAGCTGTAAGTATATTCTCTTTTCAAAAAAATCACAGGCATACACCAACTATCTACATTGATAGATAGCAATAATCAAATATTTCTACCTTCCACTTGTTTGAGGGGAAAAGTCATTTGGTTTTATACATGGATGCTGACACAGTATATTTTCTTTGTTATGAGAACATGATCAATACAAAGGATCAGAAGCTTCATTTGACTCTCATCCTTTTCCATAGTCTAGACCATATTGGAAGTGAAACTACCAGCAAAATTTTGTTACATTATTCAGAGAATCCTGGGATAGTCTGCTACCTCCTTATAGTAATGATTTTGGAGATGTCAATGTGTATTTGGTCAAAAATATCTTCCCCAATAGAATCCCTCTGGGCCTATGTAAAAACCTCACTATTAGATTTATTTTAATGGCTGAAGACATTTTATGTCCAAAGAGCCCTTTAAAAAAAGATTGCACATGTGGAAATAAAATAACAATATATGAATTTTTTTTTGCCTCCAAAATTTATTATTTATTTATTTATTTATTTATTTATTTGCAGATGGATCAATTACCTGTTAAGGCCCTAAGGAAATTATGAAGGTTGAATGTAAAATGACAGCATAGGATTCAAGTTGAGAAAAACAAACCAAGGGAGTACATTGTGGGTAACTGAGAAAAAGAAGATATCTGAGAGGTGGTACCTTAAACTGAGGAGGTTGGAGGATATAGGATACTTTTGCTTTCTCAAACATTTTGACTGTATTATAAATTAAAAAACAACCTCACAAATGTCCTGGCAAATTTCCCCTCTCACTCATCTTGTTTAGAGACTTCATGGTTAGGTTTTAATTCTGTATTTTGCTTCTGAGTTCCTTCCTTTTGCCTAATAGTACAAAGGGTCTCAGAGGGCTTCTGTTTGTTATTTAACCACAGATTCATTCTAAAAATAAAAGAAGTGAGTGATAGTTTATAATTTAATATAATTAATATCTCATCACCCGCCCCCCCCATTGTGCTTATACGCGTGATACAGATAAACACTTTCTAGTTAGACAGTCTTTTCATCCTAACTTAATTTACTTTTTGAGCCTTGAAGGTAAGTGGAAAAACATCGCACTCAAAATATTTCTAATTATGAAATCCCATCAGGGAATCAAAAGAAAATGACAGGGCCAAAGGAAAAAGAAAGTAGATGCCAATGATGTGCTTACATTGTCCAGTGAAACTTAGTAGAAGCAGCGTTTATTAGTTTTAAATTTTTTATTGCAAGATAATACTTAAAAGGAACATTTAAATTAGTAGTTCAAACATACTACCTTTTATGCCAAAAAAACAGCTTGTTGCATAGACATTACAGCAGCCAAGAGACTGGGAAGCAACGCCAAACCCTTCGAGTTCAGCAGGGGAAACCACAATAATTAGTCGTGTGTTTCTGGAGCTCTCTGGGCCTACATGGGTGGCTGCCTTGAAGGCAATAATAAAACATGGTTTGAATTATAGATTTATAAAGCCCAAACAAATAAAACACACACTACTGGATTTATAAACATTACTGAACAAGTAGGCAGTGAAATTGTCTTGTTTTTCTCCAAAAGCTTTTTTTATAAAAATCCCATTACATTCTTCCTGCTAGGAATACAATAAATAGACTGGGATGAGAAAAGCTATGTGAGCGGTAGATCTTTCCTGGCCATCTCTCTCTCTCCCTTCTTTAGGTGACTTATACCACACGAATCTGGAGGCCACAGCAGATGTCCTTGATGCTGATATTCCACTAGGCTTCTTCTTGGCTTAGGATGCATACTCCCAAAATGTTTCTGAAGGGTGCTCCACCAAACACTAGCTCCGTGGGCAATTGTTGGGTGTTAACCTAATGAAATTGGTTCTGTGGTTAAATAAACAGACAATTCTAGATGAAACAAAAATCAAGAGGTTTTCCTTTTGCAGGACGTCTCAGAGCTTTTGATAAAGTCATGAATGTTGTGAATCACTAAAAGGGGAATATGTATGTTTTACCACAGATCATGCCTTTTTTTTTTTTTTTTGTAGGGGGAAAAGATGGGATTAGTATCCTACAGAAA